ATCAAGAAAAAAATAAAGTTAATCACTGAAATAGTAACTAAACATTCATTGTCATTTATTTGGTGAAATAATTTTTTAAAGACTTACATTTCAGAATTTTAGATCTGTAAAAAGCTTGAAGGTGCCACAAACTGTTAGAGAAGCAAAAAATTTGTGCCCGAAAAGTCTTTATGAAACAGCGAAAAAATCATTGAAAAAAATTTTTTTTATTAGATAGACCGATTATGGCAGTACCAAATTCATAATAATTAGCAAAGTTTTGACATTTACAATTGTAAACTTAAGTTATGTGATTATCAGTAACACTGATATGGTTAAAAGTTAAAATGGTGGCATTGCTTCTTTGTTTAAATTTTAAACAGCTCCATCAGTCTATAAAAAAAAGAGAAGAATTACTGAAACAGAAGAAACAAAAGATGGTCTTTTTCTACAAAAATTTTTGGCAACATTCAACTAGCGCTATAGTCAAGAGACATTCACTAATTATAAGGCAAGTAAAACAGAGAAAAAAAAATAAATTTTTTAAATTTTGATAAAACAAATTTGTGAAATGACATCATTAACACTTTTCCTACGTACCCTTAAAGTAACACCTATTTTCTTTTCCTTTTTTATTTATTTGCAGCTATAAATTTACACTTCAACTTTTTTGCTATTCCTTAACTTTATCGATTTTTAAAACATTATCGGATATAATTTCTAGAAATAGATATTAACTTGAATAAGATTGATATAGTATTTTATTTTTGCTGTTACATCTACTATCAGAAGCAAGCACTTTTGTTCTTTGACAGATAAACTATTGATAAAAGTGCCGCTTTAAGATATTGGGTACCGTGAGCGTGAACGTGACAGGTCCAGAAATGACAGGGAAAGGAGAATGGATTCCAGAAGATTTTCCAAGAAAATTACGAGATGCAGTTGTGGCAAAAGAAGAAATCGGACAGAAGCGCCCTCAAGATGAATTTGGTGCAAAAGCAAAAACTAGTAAAACAAAGCAGCAGCAAAAGTTTCAAAAAAGGTATTGGTGTTGGTCACAGTTGCAGAAAAAGGTAAAGTAGCGACGGTTTCCAAAACAGATACTGGTTCGCCAAGTGTTCGCATCATTTTTGCACCGAAAAAAATCATTTGTTAGTTTGTCCGAATTTCTGCTCAAATGCTTTTTTTCCAGGTAGACCAAGTCAGAAGACAACAGGCAAACGTCAAAAGTACAATCTGTAACGAAACTATTTGTTCATGAGAATGACCGGAGAAGAAAGATGAGAAAAGTCATTGCTGCCACATACTGCTCATATTTGCTTTTTTTTTTCACTGCTTTTTTGCAATCAAGTAAGATAAAAGACAGATTAAACTTGTCTGTTTTCAATATTCACTTCTTTACCTATCAATTATTCTGTGTCTGTTCCTATGGCGTACTTAAAACAATATTTTCTGAATTGGTTCTACAATTAAAGTGATTATAATATGTTTAGTTTGTTTCTAACGAGTAAACAAATCTTGGCTATAATAACAATTGTTTCAAATAAAATCTTTTCTTAAATAAAAAAAATGTTTTACTGATAATGTAGGCAAAAAAAGCTTTTTTACAAAAAGTAATTTGAAATGTTTTGTCGGCTGTGACATATAATTTGTATTCGTTGCCAGTAATCTTTCAACAAAACTTGTCTATTCGTATACTTCCAAAATTTGTCATCGTACGACCGACTTCGTAAGTTTTTAGTGACATATTTTGGTCTACTAGTCAATCTGTAGTGTCGTTATTTTCGCTGCTCTAAAATATTTTAGGTTTTGCAATAAACAGTCAAAACTCAATTGATACCAAAAGAAAAGTCTACAGAACTATTAAAAATACGCATAAACGTTATGAGCAAGCACTTGACTTTTGCCCAACTTTTTTCTCGTCAACAGTAAAAATTTAACAACATTTACTACAGCACTTCACAGCTTGCTCTGAAAAGTTGGTTGAAACATTGAAACTTCCAGGTTTTAAAAGCAACTGAAATCTTGCAAGACAGCTATGACATAAAATTCAGCCAAATCATTAATTAAACCGTCAGCTGCTTAAAACTAAAACAGTTTTTTTACATATTTGTGTCAAAAAATAGTCAATTTGTCCAAAAAACAAGAAGTCTTGTTTATTTAATTTTTTTGGGAATTTCTGACGTTATTTTAATAAGAAGTTTTGCCAGAGCATAAATTTTTCTAACACTTTTCCTTCTGTTCTACCAACAAATTCTGATCAGCAATTTCTCTCATACAGCGAGTAATAAACAGTTTTTATGCGCTTTCGTATTTTTAATACTGTTAATAAAATTCATTACAAGAAGCTGTAAAGAAACGACAAAATGAAGTAATGTGACCGAAGCTATTACTAGACGGTAGCTATCTGGATAAGAGGCAAATCGACTCTGCTGTTTAGTTGTCAACTGTTTTACAATTCTGCAATTTCGCTTTTGCTTTAAACATCATTTTCTAGCCATTGGCAACATTTATCTGTACCGATATAAAACAAAAGGATAAAACAACTATATTCTGTACTGACTTACAAAATGTGTGAGTTTGAACACCAGGCTGATCAAGCAGATCACGAACGTCAAGTTTTAAAGAGTGGGATTTAAGAGCTGGCAGCAGTAAATAAGCCTGGCATCAACGATTATGTATCATATTACCTACAACGTAATTTATTTGCTGCATTGATCACTCAAAACAAAACTCGTTTTTTCAATAGCCTTAAATGGCTCTTTACTAAACGGTAACGTCGTTTTAACGATGCAATACTAACAGCTCAAACCAGAGTGAATATTCTGAAGTATTTTCAGCAATTAGTGTGAAGAAAAAGGATCGGGGGATTTGTTTTCCTTCTTTTCTTCAGTGTACTCACAGATTTA